TAGAGTTAACTGTAATGATGCAAATGGGGAAAAGCCCATGGGAGTAAAGACCGTGGAACCTTCATTTGCTGATGGGGCACAACTCAAAATGAAGAGAAACAGCTGTAAACATCCACAAATGATTGAAACATGGAATGTATGAAATATGAATCTAAAAAACTTAGAAATTGTCAAAATGAAATGGAATGCATAAACATCGATATCTTAGGTATTAGTGAGCTGAAATGAACTGGTATTGACCATTGTGAATCTGACAACCACATGGTTTACTATGCTGGGAATGACAAATTGAAGACAAATGGTGTTACATTCATTGTCAAAAAGAACATATCCAGATCAGTCATGAGGTACAATGCTATAAGTGATAAGGTAATATCCATGCGCCTACAGGAAAGACCAGTTAATACCACTATTACTCAAATTCACACACCGACCACTAAAACCAGTGAGGATGAAATAGAAGAATTCTACCAATTTTTTTCAATCTGAAATGGATCATACATGAAAACAAGATGTATTGATCATTACTGGTGATTGGAATGCAAAGGTTGGGAGCAAAGAGGAAGGATCAGTAATTGGAAAATATGGCCTTGGTAATTGAAATGATGCTGGAGAACGCATGATAGAATTCTGTAAAATCAGTGATTTGTTCATTTCAAATACCTTCTTCAGACAGAATAAGAGACAGTTATACATATGGACCTTACCAGATGGAATACATCGAAATAAAAATGACTATATCAGTGTAGAGAGAGGGTGGAAAAGCTCCATATCATCAGCCAAAACAAGGCCAGGGGCAGATTGTGGAACAGACCATCAATTGCTCATATGCAATTTCAAACTGAAGCTGAAGAAAATGAAAACAAGTCCATGAGAGCCAAAATATGACCTTGAATATATCCCACCTGACTTTAGAGATCATCTGAAGAGTAGATTTGATACATTAAACACTAAAGACTGAAGACCGGAAGATTTGTGGGATGACATCAAGAACATCATACAGGAAGAAAGCAAAAAGTCATTGAGAAGACAAGAAAGAAGGAAAAGGTCAAAATGGATGTCAGAAGAGACACTGACACTTGCTCTCCAGCTTAGAGATGCTAAAACAAATGGAAGAAATGAGGAGGTACAAGATCTAAACAGAAAATTTCAAAGATCAGCTCAAGAAGATGAAGCCAAATATTACAACAAAAAGTGCAAAGATCTGGAATCAGAAAACCAAAAAGGAAGTACATGTTGAGCATTTCTCAAGCTGTGGGAACTGAAGAAAAAATTCAAGCCTCGACTTTCGTTATTGAAGGATTCTTTGGGAAAATTCTTGAATGATGCAGAAAGCATCAAAAGGAGATGCAAGAAATACAGAGTCACTGTATCAAAAGAAAATGGCTGATATTCAACCGTTTCAAGAGATAGCATATGATCAAGAGCCAATGATCCTGAAAGAGGAAGTCCAAGGTACATTGAAGGAATTGGCAGAGAACAAAGCACCAGAATTTGATGGGCTAAAAATTGAAATCTTTGAAGAAAGTGAGGTGGCACAGGAGGCACTCACTCATCTCTGCCAAGAAATTTGGAAGACATCTGTCTGCCTGACTGATTGGAAGAGATTTGTATTTGTGCCCTTTCCAAATAGAGGTGACCCAATAGGATTTGGAAATCATAGGACAATATCCTTGATATCCCATGTGAGTAAAGTTTTACTGAAGGTAATACGGGAATGTCTTCAAGCATACATTGGCAGAGAACTTCTAGAGGTTGAAGCCAGATTCAGAAGACGCCGTGGAATGAGGGGGGATTATCATTGCTGATGTCCGATGGATCTTGGCTGAAAGCAGAGAATATCAGAAAGATGTTTACCTATGCTTTATTTACTACACAAAGGCTTTCAGTTGTGTGGATCATAACAAGCTATGGACAACACTGCAAAGTATGAATATTCCTGAACACGTAATTTTGCTCATGAGGAATCTGTACATGGACCAAGAGGCAGTTGTTCAAACAGAACATGGGAACATTGAATGGTTTAAAATTAAGAAAGGTGTGTGATAGGGTTGTATTCTTTCACCATACTTATTCAAACTGTATGCTGAGCAAATAATCCAAGAAGCTGGGTTATATGAAGAAAAACGTGGCATCAGGATTGGAGAAAGACTTATTAACAACCTGTGATATGCAGATAATACAACCTTGCTTGCTGAAAGTGAAGAAGACTTAAAATATTTACTGGTGAAGATCAAAGAGCACAGCCTTCCATATGGATTACATCTCAATATAAAGAACACAAAAATCCTCACCACTGGACCAATAAACAACATTCTTATTAACAGAGAAAATAATGAAGTTGTCAAGGACTTCATTCTTCTTGGATCAACTATCAACACTCACGGAAGCAGCAGTCAAGAAATCAAAGGAGATATTGCATTAGGCAAATCTGCTGCACAAGACCTTTTGAAAGTGTTGAAGAAAAAAGATGTCAGCTTGAGGACTGAGGTGCGCCTGACCCAAGCCATGGTATTTTCAGTAATCTCAAATGCATGTGAAAGCTGGACAGTGAATATGGAAGACTGTAGAAGAACTGATGCTTTTGAGTTGTGGTGTTGGAGGAGAATATTGCCAAAAGAACCAACAGATCTGTGTTGGAAGAAGAGCAGCCAGAGTGCCCTTGAAGGCAGGATGGTCAAACTTTGTCTCTCATACTTCGGGCATATGTTAGGAGGGACCAGTTGTTGGAGAAAGATAGCATGTTTGGTAAGATGGAGGGTCAGAGAAAAAGAGGAAGACCCCCAATGAGATGGATTGGCTAAGTGGCAGCATCAGTGGACTCAAGTGTGGCAACAGTAGTGAGCTTAGCCCAGGATCGGGCAGTGTTTTGTTCTGTGCATGAGGGTGCTATGAGTCGGTACCGACTCGATGGCACCTAACAATAACAGCAACAACAATTGTCTCTTTCCACAGATGTCAGTTCGACTCATGTGTATTCCATCTGGCCCACATGTTTAGTCACCATTTATATTTTGAAAATGGTATTTGCAATTAATAAGTTGTTGAGCTTGCAAAATTTTATAATGTGATCTTCACCATCATTTCTGTCACCAAAGTCTGATTTTCATAATACTGATTCTTCCCTTTTGTATCCAACATTCACATTCTAGTCACCAATAATTATCATTGTGTCTTGTATCATGTTTGATCAATTTCAGACTGAAAACGTTGGTAGAATTCATCACTCACTTTAATGTTGTTGTGTTGTGAAGTGCTGTCGAGTCGGTTCCAACTCATAGTGACCCTGTATAAGATTTCCCAGGAGCAGCTGGTGAGCTTGAACTGCAGACCTTGCATTTCAAATGGCTTTGCAGTCTGGTGCCACCCACATTGCCACCCAAGGACTCCTTTAATGATTGGTGTGTAAATTTGAATAATAGTTGGATTAACTTGTCTTTCTTGTAGGCATATAAATATTATCACAGACTGTATTGTACTTCAAGATTGATCTTGAAATGTTCTTTTTACTAGTAAGTGCCTGCCATTTCTCTTCTATTTGTAATTCTCAGAATAGTAAATCATGTGAGTGTCCAATTTAAAATGCCAATATCAATCAATTTCAGCTCACTAATGTGTAGGATATCTATTTTTATGCATTCCATTCTTTTTTGAGAACTTCTAATTTTTGCATATTTATAAATTCATATTTTGAAGCTGTTTCCTCTCATTTAGAATCATGCCCCATCTTCAAATAAGGATCCTGACAACTTTCTTCCTTCACATCATTAAGGTCAACTCTACTTAGAGGAGGCAGCTCTTTTTGGAACTGTATCAGTGTTTTACTATTCATAAGGGTTTTAGTACTAGTCTTTCAGAAATGGTCAGCCTTTCCTTGCTAGTCTGTCTTAGAAAGTTAAGACTCATTAAATTACAACACTTCTGAATTTCCTCAATGAAAAATTGTTGTGTGAACATGTAATTTTGGCACTTAAAAAAACTAGTGAACATTAAATTAATAAGTCAATTTATAAATGGTATAGCTTGTATGTTATACTTAAAAAATAAACAGAAGGCTACATGAGTAATGAATACATAATTTTAAATACTTAATGTCCTTTCAGAGAAGCCTTGGTGATGCAGTGATTAACCACTCAATTGTTGACATCAGTAACGGTGGTTCAAAACCACCAGGCATCCTACAGGAGAAGGATGTGGCAGTCTACTTCCAGAAACATTTATAGCTTTGGGAACACTTGGGCTATTCTCTGTCTTATTGGGTCACTATGAGTTGGAGTGAAACCAGTGTTAACTTTGTGTGTGTGTGTGTGTGTTTAATGTTCTTGAGTAGATATTAAAAAGTTTGTATACTTAGCCTTTCTAAATTAAATTTACTTCTTTAAAGGAAAAGCCTGATGTATGCTTTTTGAACTGTTAAAACTTTAGTTTCCTAGTGCTTCATTAATTGAGGAAATGATCCTTTTACTGAATATAATCTAGTGATCTATGTGATGATGCAGTGATTCTTTGATTAGGAGTCAAATCTAATTGGAAGAAGGAGAAAATATATTTCTTTATATGAATATATTCTTGGTGAAAATTATTTCTTCAAGAAAGATTTTGAAATTAGATTAGTTAATAGACTTTTAAAACTGGGAAGTATATTAGAATCCAAGTGGTTCAATGACCTCACTTTACAGATAATGATTCTAAGAACTGAAATGTGAAGAAGTGAATTATCCGAGGTGTGACTCATTAAGAACAGAACCTAGGTCTCACTCTGCTCTCTTGGGTCCAGTGCTTTTCACTCGATAATTCATGTTATTCTCTTAAAGCCAATTTGGATGTAATTAAAAAGAAAGGGAGTTGGGGAAAAGTTGGCCAAAGAAAAGGGGTATAAATCCCTTTTCAGCGAACTTTTTAACTTTAGTTCTCTAAATAGGTTGCCATATCTGTTCTTTACACAAAATGCTTCAGTGGTGAAGATAACCATGCTAATAAAACTGATTTTACTTTTTTAGGTGAGAGTTATGTGTGTGCATCCAACGAACCATTTCGCAAAGTTGATTACACCAAAAATATTAACCCGAACTGGTCTGTGAACATCAAGGGTGGAACAACACGACCCTTGGCTGCTGCCTCCTCTGTGAAAAGTGAAGTGAGAGAAAGTAAAGATTTCATCAAACCCAAATTAGTGACTGTGATTCGAAGTGGAGTGAAGCCTAGAAAAGCTGTGCGGATCCTGCTAAATAAAAAGACTGCTCATTCGTTTGAACAGGTCTTAACAGATATCACCGAAGCCATTAAACTAGACTCAGGAGTGGTCAAGAGGCTTTGTACACTGGATGGAAAGCAGGTAAGATGATTCTACTGTCCTGTTCATCATCTTTTAAATTTTCCCTGTGCTATGATGGTTGCCTGGCTGAAAATATGAATTCATTTGTCTGCCAGAAAGGATTCCAGTAGTTCTACTTAAACTCTGTGTGTGTGTGTGTGTGTGCGCACGTGAAAGAGAGAAAAGAGAATGAATTTGCTTTTTATCTTTAAAAATGTAAGCTGCTTACCTTTCTTTTTACTCAAATATAGCAAAGATGAATACATAGAAGTCCTTCATATATTTGTTTGTTTTGGTCATTGAAAGTAAAATTTACATGTAGGAGAGAAAAATGGAAGTTGAGGAGGCGCGTCCCCCATTATGTGGAAAGTTCTCTAAGAATAAGAGCATTGATTGACAAGTAGAGTCACTATGGGCTTAGGTAAATCACAGAAGCCAAAATTTAAAGATACTTAGCAATTTTAGACAAGTCTTTCCCACTTCACTTATGTATGATACAGAAAACTCATTTTAAAAGAAAGTACTTTTATAGAAATGCCCATATGAGTTTCACCATGAAAAACGGAGATAACTAGTCAGCATTTCTTTAAAAAACCCAAATTGCACAGAAAAATGCAAGACAAATTATGAGAGCTATATCCCTTGTTTTGATAGGCAAAACAAGGAGGGGGTGCAAATTGCAAGATGCAAGAATACCAGTTATATTGACTTTTGCTACTATCAGCATCATTCTTAAAAAGAAGCATGTGATTTTTTTTTTTAAGCTTTTGTCAGTTGAGTAATAGCATGCATGGCAGAACATCCATTTTATACTCAATCAGTCACATCTTGTTTCATTGTAATTATTACAATCCCCATTTTTGATGTACACAAAGACACACAGAAATACATAATCGTTTAAACAACCAAAGGACACATTTGCGAGCCAGCCCCCTGCCTGTCAGCACACAGTCTGTCTCTTTCAGTGAGTCTGCAGTCTTCAGCTGCTCTATCTCTCCATGCCATCATTTCTGCCTCTGATGTTATTGGCTTCTCAGGTTAGGATCCCATGTTCCACTCATCCTCTTCCCTCTGATGGTCCTAGGATCCTCTGTTTCTGGAATGTAAGATAAACTACTCCCCTCTTTTTGTTGCACATCTTCTACCTTTATAATTGTGACATTTGCAATTGGTCATTGTAGCAATTACTCACTATTAAGTACTTACTATCCTTTCAGAGAAGCCTTGATGGTGCAGTAGTCAAGCACTTGACTGCTAACATCAGTATTAGTGGTTCAAAAAACCAGGCATCCTACAGGAGAAAGACGTGGCAGACAAGACCCATCTATTCAGTGGGGAGTCTACCTTCCCCCAGTCACTCTGAAGCTAAACTCCCTCATGAAAACTTGTAAGCCAGCCACTTTGTGCCTGTATAACCCCTCCATTTTATGTAGCCAGTGTCTGAGTTGTCCATCCCTATCAACCCTGGGTACTGAGGGTACTTGCTTGATGCTTGAATTGAAGATTCCTTCCCTCTCGGTTGGTATTTTGTGCTACTGTATCTGTACAATAAGGTCATGTTCATCAAATTGTAGCCATTTACACTTGGGAAGCATGTGATTTTTTTTTTTTTTTCACCCACTAATTTTAATTATTTATTTATTAAATGTTTTATTGTGAGTGTGATAGTTTACATGGGAGAATATTAGTTTTACATTCATTCTATCGTATATTGTCTCATTGCCATGGTTACAATCCCCTCCATGCAATCCTTCCCCCGTACCCCCCAGGTCTTTACACAGTCGCTCTCCCTCTCTGGATCTAAAGTCTCCAGCTGCTCCATCGCTCCACGTCATCATCTCTGGCTCCATTTCAGGCATCACGGGGGAAGCATGTGATTTTTGAAGTGTATTTTTTTCTAATTTCAGTAAGGTTAAATTGTCATTAAATGCCATCAGGTTGGTTCTGGCTCATAGCGACTCTATATAGGGTTTCCAAGGAGTGGCTGATGGGTTTGAACCACTGACCAAGTAGCTAGCAGTCCAGAGCTTATTCTGTAGGTAAAATAAAAAATTAACATGCATTGTATTTTAAATTATACTACGTTACATTTGTTTCTTCCCTGTAATATACTTATTTTGAAGTGTGTTTGGGTCACATAGTGCTGAGAATGTATCAATGTAAAATCCTGGAGCAGTGTTACCTAGAAAACAACAATCTAAGTAATATCTAATTTTCTAAGACCAGATCTAGTTACTAGATTGCTTTCTGAAACATTAATAACATTTTCAAATTAAACTCTGAAAATTCCATTAGATCGTTGTTAAAGTGCCATCGAGTCAGTTCTGACCCATAGGGTTTCCAAGGAGTGAATGGCGAGCTTGAACTGCCGTCCTTGCTGTTCAAACTGACCTTGCAGTCCAGTGCATTAACCCACAGCACCACACCAGAACTTCCCATTAGGTCATAACCAAAATAAATCAAACCCACTGTGTTGAGTGGATCCCAATTCATAGTGGGGTTATGATAAACTTTCTAATGAATTTAATTATTTATTAGAAGGCATGTAGGTAGTGGTGGTGGTTTTGTGCCATGGAGTTGGTTCTGACTCATAATGACCCTGTATAGGGTTTCTGAGGCTGTAAACTATTGTAGGAGCAGAAAGCCTCATCTTTCGAAACTGGTAGTTTCGAACTGCTGACCTTGAGGTTAGCAACCCAACTCATAATCGCCATTAACAACTGAGTTGATAACACAAAACAGCAAAGATTCACTTACAAGTAAGTAAAAATAAGTTGGACCACAGGAAATTGGTAGATTTGGTAAATTAATCTAATTTCCATCTTGGTGAGTACAGGGAAGAAGGAAAATAAAAGACAGATATTTAAGATCCATAACCAAAGGAAAAATGAAATCACAAATATATCAAATTAAGAAAAAATGACTGTAAACAGCAAATACTACAATAGTTATTTTAAAGATTAGAGTAGTATACATACAGCAACACTCTCATTTGGAAATCTCCAAAAGAATGATGCTCACAGAAAATATAAGTGAAACAAAGAAGTTGAACATCTAATTAAAACAAAAATCATTGATATTTTAACAGTTGTATAAAAAATAACTTCAGAAAGGCTGCATATCAGAAATATTTGTACAAAAAATACAAACTAAAGCACAAGCACATGCATGTCAGAGTGTGGTGCCTCTAGAGGATAAACAGTGAACCGTGAATCACACAGCCAGTGGTTCAAACCCACCATCTTTCTCTTGCTCTGTGGAAGAAAGATGATAGTTTGTGCTCCTGCAAAGATTTGCAGTCTTGATAAGGGAAAACTGACTCCACAGCACTTAGAATGGCAAAGCACAAGCAGCTCAAAATGATCAGTGTATTAAATAATTAAACCTCATGGCCCAACTGTCAGCCAAATGATAGGTCCATAAAGTGAATACTAACTCCGTAGAGCAGTGAACCCTGGTGGGGACAAAACTCTGAAGGCTTAAAGAAATAGTTAAAAAGAAGCCATGGAAACAATAAGCCTGGGGAAAGTAGTGAGAGTGCTTTTATATTATGGGGATTACAATCAATGTCACAAGACAGATGGTACATGAATTGTTAATAAAAAGCCAATTTGTGTCATAAACTTTCACTCAAATAAAAAAACAACAACACTGAAAGAGTAGGACTATTGCCAGGAATTAAAGGATGCTTTATCATTAAGATTATCTGTTTACATATGAGGTCTATAGGGTAAAACATAATACATACACATACATAAACCCAAAATGTTGTAAATCACTTAATAAAATTTAAAAGTCCATAGTCAGTTAAATTATTTAGTAATTAAAATAGAAGGCTATTTCTCTCATCTACTAAAAAAAAAAAAAAAAAAAAATTGTTACCTGAAACAAAACACCAATGTTTTGTATCAGTAAACCAGTGAGATACTGTATTTTTGTGGCAATCATCTACAAGATAAGGATACCTGATAGCCCCAGTATTTAATTGTTGTTAAGTGTCAGTAAGTCTGTTCAGATTCACAGTGACCCTGTATAAAGTTCCCAAGGAGTAGCTGGTGATTTTGAACTGCTGACTGTGTTTCAAATCGACCTTGTGGACCAGGGCTTTATCCCATAGTGCCACACCTGTATTTAATATTATTCTATGTATTCATCCTGATTTTTATTTATAATTTAATGCAATTTCAATAATCTCAGTGAGTTGTTTTTTTGGTTTTGTTTTGTTTTTTGGTGGGGTTTATAGAGGTACCTAACAATATGATTTTACAAGTTAATCTGGAAAAATAGGAAGTTTTTAGAAATAATGATTAATGGGCTCTCATGCTAACAGATATTAAATCATCATCATTACATCATGCAGTGCATAAATTTCAGGCATTCTAAAGGAGTCCTGGAGTTCTGGTGTGGCGCTATGGGCTAATGCATCAGACTGCAAAGATGTTTGAACTGCAAGGTCAGTGGTTCAAGCTCATCAGCTGCTCCTCGGGAACCCTATACAGGGTCTTTGTGGGTCAGAATGGACTCAATGGCACTTAACAACAACAACAACAAAGGAGTGTTGGTGTGGTGCTGTGGGCTAATGAGCTGGACTGCAAGGTCAGTTTGAACTGCAAGATCAGCGGTTCACACCACTCCTTGGAAACCCTATACAGGGTAGCTATGAGTCAGAACCAACTGGACTGCACTTAACAACAACAACAAAGATAATATATGTAAAAATGAAAAGTAAAGAACTAAAATTATCTCAGTTGTTAAAATGGGAAAGTATTTTTTACACATAAAAGTAGTGGAGAAACCAGAAAGAAATAAGTTGATTGATTTTACAACATAAATATTAAAACATATCTAGAAGCCATATAAACGGAGGTGATATACTTTCATATTGAGTTGTTTTAAGTTAAAAAAAAAAAAGGATGAATCCTGTAATTGGAAAATGGAAGAAAAGCCAAACAGGCAGTTTGAAAAAGTAGACATTATAAATGTAACCAACAAAAAGTTCAGTCTTACTAATAAAAATGTGA